GAAATAATAAGCAAAACCAAGAATATTATATATACAATGACTACAAAAATGTAAATGAAAAAAGAAAAAAAAAAGCCAAGTGCTGCAAAATTTTAATGACCAATCTTGGTCCCAGAGAAGAGATGAGAAATCCCTCCCCCTGCAAAGAAGGGGAACTATCCATATCATATCATATCCTCAGACTTAGTTGATGCATTGGTTACTTTTGCTAAACTGTTTTCTCCTTTTGTTTTTATTCTTAGTAACAAGAGGAAAGCAGGGAAATATATATTTATAAATGGAAATTTTGTAAATGCAGTAGAAAATTTTTTTTAAGTTTTTTGTGTGTGTGTCAGCAAGCAAATTGGGATCATTGAAAACTGTATGCAGTCTAATTTGATTTCCTATTCAGTTCTAAGCCCAAATCACTATTTATCTGCAGTTGCTATACTAGATCATTGCAGTATAACTTTAGAACTGGAAGAGATTTTACTAAGGGAAGACAATACACTAAGGAAGCTGTAAGAGGTAGGAGAGTGTTTCTAGCAAAGAGACTAAGTAGAGCTGCTGTTGGTAAATGAAAATACGTGGAAAAATTTGAATCCTCTCTAAAGAGATGCCTTAGGGGGAATTCATTGCTCAGTTTTCCAGAAATAGAGGAAAGGCAACTGAAGATGCTGAGTTACTTTTCAAGATGATGAGATTCCAGGTGTTGGGTTTATCCTGGGGGAAGCAAAATGTTCATGGAGTCAAAACCAAGCAGAGGAGATGATGGTAAATGATTAATTAATGATCATTAAATAAAGTCGTATCCCTGGTCACGCCTTTATGATTTTAACAGACATAAGACATATTGTCCCATTTTTATTGGTTTTTTTTGTTTGTTTGTTTTGGTGAGGCAATTGGGGTTAAGTGTAGAGGTATTGTTAATATAAATTTTATTGATACCTTTTGTTTTTGAATCACAATCATTTCTGCTCATAGTCTCCTACCCCACTTTGAAATGTAATCTTTGTAACAACTGAAAACAATTAAGTAAAATTGAAGCCATTTCGTCATTGGAGTATACTACAGAGGGAGAGAAAGAGGAAATAAGTGAGGATTTGAGAAAATACCACAAGCCTGGTATAGAGACATGGTATAATAGTAATGAGGGACTTTGATTATCCAGTTATCTCCTAAAGCACTCTACAAAGATAGAGTAGACTAGTATCAAAGTCAAAAGGCAGAGGAAATCTCAAAAGGAAATTCTATTCTGGATCTTATCCTCACTAACAGGGAATAGCTAGCTGCTGGGTTAGAAATGATGGGAAGCCTAGGGAGGAGTGACTGTTTTATTCTAGAATTTGTAATAGATGAGAAGTCTAGGCATAGTCCTGACATGCACCCTAGGTTATAGAAAAGTCTACCTCAAAGGATTTAGAGGGCGGATAAGTAGGATCCCGTTCTTCTGTTTCCTTCTTTGGGTCTAGTCCAAGAATACAAGGAATTTACCTTTCTTTTTATCAGCCTCAGTTCATTATGAGTTTAAACATTCCTAATAGTATTCTTGTATAGCTGTCGCATTTTGTATTTATTCTTAACCTGCTCTTGCTTCTAACTTCGGTACAAGTCTTAAAAACCTGAATTGGTTGATGATTTCCCTGTGTTTCCACATTGTTCTTATGCAGCTCTACTCTTTACTCCTCAGTGGAATTGTTTATCTTTAAAATATCATTTTTCTTCTTATCCCTCCTGACTTCCCCTGTAGAATATTAGCCCATGGAACCCTTCCTATCCTTTCTCTGCAGTTTTCGAAATCTGCTTCCCTGAAATACAGATTATGTCAGACTTTGACTTTCTTTGCCTTCTCTATCACAAATCCTGCCACATCTTCCTCCCCTGATTGCTGGGTTTTCTAACATGAGTGTTTGCCATGCTGTTTTGTCCCCCTCTTACTTATCCTGTGGCCCTTGAATGACATTTACCTTTCCAGAGATAAAAGATGTTCCACAGAAGACTACATTATTACCACCACACAGTTGATCAAAAATATAGAGGAACACAAGATCTTACTGTGCTTGTTGCTTATTTTTTTTAAATAAAGTTGTTTATGTTTTTATTTGTTTTATGTACCATAATTTCCCCTAGTACCTCCCCTCTTCTCTGTCACCAAGAACCATCCCATGTAACAAATAACATCTTAAAGACAAAAAGAAAAAAATCAGCAGAAACTAATCAGTGCATCAGAAAAAAAATTCTGAAAATAGGTGCAATGTACATACTTGTATACTTTCCACCTCTTCAAAGGAGAATGATTAGGGTCTCTTTGGTCCTGCTTGATCCTATTTGTAATTTTGTCACATTCAGTTTTGATTTTTTTTTTTTTGGTCTTTCTGTTTACATGGTTGTAGTTATTGTGTATATTTTTTTTTCCTGGCTCTGATTATTTCACTTTGCAGCAGTTCATATAGATCTTTCCGTGTTTCTCTAAATTTATCATATTCATCATTTCCTACAGCATAGTAATTAAAAACAGAAAGCATTTGGTACATGAGAGTAAAACTCTGCCTTAAAGTTTCTCCTTCAACAATGACTACCATACATGCATCAAAATTATGTAAGATTGCTTGAAGATACAACAACAGAAAGAACTTTGTCCAGTGATCTGAACATTCCTATCAAGGGAGGCATATGCTATACAAGGAGTCTATGTGGTCTCCAAAGGTATTCATTCATCACTCTCAGGGAAGAGATCCAGCTCAGAGCCTAAATTGAAGAGTGGAGGAATCCTCCCTCTATAGATCGTTACCTCCAGATGTTCTGATTTGACATAATTCTTATTGCAACAAGCTCCACAACTTTACAGAACCTCTTAAATTAGATCTTTAAGCACTCAAAAGCTTAGCCAGCTCTCCACTCAAGGAAGGTTCCTTCCACATTGGATAAACCCATTGGGAAATTTATGGGAGGAAATGGATCAAAGTTGCACAGTAAGGGCAGTCATGGATGGGTTGTGGTCTACACATCATTGAAGAGAACATCCAGTTAGTCAACAATCAACAAGCATTTAGCAACCTCTGTGTACCAAGGGCAGCTAGGTGACATAGGGGATAAAGTGCCAGGCCTGGAGTGAAGAAGAATCATCTTTATGAGTTCAGATCTGACCTCAGACACTTCCTAGTTGTGTGATCCTGGGCAAGTCACTTAACCCTGTTTGACTCAGTTTCCTTATCTGTAAAATGAGTTTGAGAAGGAAATGGAAAACCACCAAAGTATCTTTGCCAAGAAACTCCAAATGGAGTCACAAAGAGTCAAACACAACTGAAAAACAACTGAATAACTGTGTC